TGACTTTTCCATAAAAATAAGTCATTCATGCCAAGGAAGAGGATGATTATCAGGGACTGGAAATCCTAATTAAGTCATGTTTTTTTAAGCTACTGAGTTTATCTTGTGAACCTGATGACTTCCTGGCTTTAATCAAGAAATTATTCCAGGTTGTGGGGAAAATAAATATCTGTAAGAATTAAACCAATTTATATATGAAGTACTTCCTTAAAAGCAACATTGAATTTTATGGTTACAAAATTACATTTATCAAATATACTATTTAGAGTATCTGAATTTTTATGAATATTTTAAAACAAATAATATTGGAATTTTTTAACTTGCAGTGAAGAAAGTAAGAAACAATGCAGTATAATTAAACTAATTTAGTGTTAAAATTCTTCAAATATCTTTTAATTGAATTAAAGTAATTCAAATAATTAAAATTCTGAAAAATTCATGGACATAACTATTATTTATATTTGAGTGAAAATATCTTGGAAAATTTTAGCTTTCTTAGAATACACAGGACCACTTTAACAAACTCAAAAATTATGCTCAATTATTATCTCCTTTTAGATACAAGTTTTTTCCCCTAAAAACAAATGATAATTTATTGTGAAATTCCATTAGGAGTTGTATTTTGACACTATATTAACTTCAAAAGACAAGATGGGAGGCACAAAAGAAACATCCAGAAAACAAATAAAGGCAATTTTGTTCTACTTAGGAAATTCTAACATCAGATAATAATAAAAATAGTAATCTAGTGAGTAGAGAAATTATTAAATCATAAGAGAAAATTAAATAGAAAGAAAAACTATAATTTTTATGGGCCATAAGATCAAGAACTTGTCTTAATGAATCGCAATAATATGGATACTGATCTGGATGGCCATGGGACAGGAAAGGACAGTCAACTACCAGAGTACCAGAGACAAATTGATTGTAACTAAATTGAGGAAGTATAAATACTCATGCAATGGTGTTCAAATACAATTTCCAATATTGTATGTTTAATAGGGACTTTCTGGGCTTTAAATATTTTCAGTAGGGATCAAAAATTTGCAATATTCTGTGTCCCATAGTACACCTGTGGTCTATGGCAGACAGACTAGGTGCTTTGGCACATTGTGTGCAAAGGGAAAATTAAAACAGAAGAAAGTTGGTTGCGGTGGTGCACACCTGTAATTCCAGCTGCTCTGGAGGCTGAGGCAAGAGGATCACAGGTTCAAAGCCAGTTCATTGAGGCTGTGAGCAACCTACTGAAACCCTGTCTCAAGATGAAAAATATAAAGAGCTGGGGCTATGGCTTAGTGGTTATTTACCCTTGGGCTCAAACCCTAGTACAAAAAAAAAAAAACAGAAGGAAGAAGGAAGATGTTTCATAACTTGGCAGACTCCATTCAACTCCTCCGTCTCCCACTTCCAAACTTGCTCTCAACCTTGACAGTTTCCCCAATTTAAGGAAACGTTATCCAGAAGGAAAGTAAAGCCCTTTTGGCTGAGGTCTGAAGATTCTTCATCTGGACTTGTGAGGGACTGACAAGGATGATAGGAAGAACTGGCCTTCTGGAGACCTTCCAAAATACCCTAGTAGACTTTTCCCAAATACCCAGCATGTATCAGTATGCAGGTTAACTAAGGCTGGGCTGTGAGCCTATTTGGTCAAGAGAAATTCACTATATCTGTGGCTCCTTTAAAGGGGCAGCAGATCAAAGGAAAATGAAGCCCAGGTCATTTAGTAACTAAGCCACACTCACATAAGTCGAGATCTTCCCAGTTTCTCTCCACCAAAACCGCAAAGTTGCAATTCTGCTGTTGTTTTTCACTTCATATACTATGACACCTTTAGCACAGATGCCCAAAGCCAGCTCCTCTTCTGGCCTTTTTTTCTCTGGGAAAATCTGGTGAACCAACACTCCATATTCTGGGAGCTGCTGAATGATCTAGAGCAAGAAAAAGTTCTATTTAGGAGAGACAGACATGCTGGTTTAAAATAATGGACCCAAACCATTCCATGAAAAATACATTAATAGATATTGTCACTCAATAAGTTTGGAAACACCCAGCTAAACAGATTTTCTTATTATGAAATGTACCCACACCTCTGATATAATGATGATGATGATGGTGTGTGTGTGTGTGTGTGTGTGTGTGTGTGTGTGTGTGTGTATGTATTGTTTTTATCTCATGGAATCTCAATTGTAGAAGTCCTAAAGCAACCCTTGAAACACAGTTACATGACACAATAGCATAATAATATTCTGAACAAGTATTTTTAGAATTGAGACTCTCCTGGAACTTCTCAAGGTAAGAAATTCCTTTTTTCCAATTGTTTAAATCATCATCACCTGCAGTGTTTTCTGCTCAAGCCTCTTTGTGTTACAGATGGAAAAACACCGGCTCAGACACAGAAAGCAACTTCTGAATCATTAGCATTAGTGTCAAACCAAGATAAGCCATAACCACCTTGCAGAGAAAATGTCCCATCACGTTAGTATTTCTTACCATGCAGCATTGCCTTTATAGGATCTCCATAGTCCCAGATCTCTCAGTTTACCAGGAGATTGAATTTTGCCAGGGATCAAGAGTCAATTAGAGTTGGAGACTGCATCTGGCAAACTAAATTCTTAAGAGAATTTGAGATATAAACTCACATATATGTTTTTAAGTCTGAATGGTAGTCATGTTTCTTTCATCTTTATCTTCACCTGGAAGAGGACTCCAGTCCTCATCAAGATGATGCACATGGACCCACAGCAAGGGTATCTTGCTCCAGGCACTTGTAACCCTCTCAGAAGGGTTTCATTGGTGGTATCTGGTACCTCATCTCCACCCCCAGCAGAATGCCATGTCCTACCCAATCTTTCTCACCCACTGGCAATCACAAAAGCAGGGACAAATTACAGCTTTTGTCTGTCTCTCTCAGGTTCATTGCTGACCTCTCTCCTTGTGTTGATAAATGATCTCTACAGATGGTTGATAATGCCTGCGGATCCCATGACTCTCCACATGGTTTCAATTAAATTTCTGGATGCTGAACCTCTTCTTTTAACTTTGGAGAGACATGTCATTTTCATTATCATTCAAAACAGTATTTATTGAGCACAGATGTTGAAATAACCAGTAGCCAGATTGGGCTTGCAATTGGTTAAGGTATGACAGAGTAGGGCCACCCCAAAACAATTAAGTGAATTCTTTTAAAGAATTCAACATGATATTTCTTTAAAAACGATTTTAAAGCATTAGTTTTTGTGAGAATACAAATGCCTTGTTTACATTTTTTTAATTATTTGGTGTTAGCTTTATTTTATTTTTTAATGATACTGAGAGGGTTATAATACTTGAGTGCTGGGGTCCCCAAATTCTTAAGTGATAGTGTTATGCTAAGTATTTCCCATGCTTTATTTTGTTATTTATTCAATCTTTACAGCAATGCTAAGATACAGGTATAGCTACCTCTTTTAAAAGGAGAGGATGGAGGCACAAAAGGGATAAGTAATCAGGTCAACTAAACATTTTGTTGCTACAGGTCAAATTCTTCAGTTAAATGAAATTTTTTAATAAAATTCAACTTTTCCATGAAAATGCCACTTCATCTTCTATTCTTATGGTATAAGGAAGTCACGGAGAAACTAGACACTACTGTTACAGGAGTTTCATTCCATACTACGGTTGATAGCTACAGTCATGGTTGCAAAACATACAAGCATTGCTTTACACTGCATTTGATACAGCTTGATGGTCCAGATCATTACTTGCTTTGATGATTCCTATTTTAGTCACATAATCAAGTATCATCATAACTGTGCTCAGGAAAGGGAAATAAGGGTTTTGTTATATACAAAACCCAATAATCAAAAACCATTGATCAGCTACTGGTTACTTGGAAGTTATTGGTGACCCTTCTGCCCAAACTTTGCTGCCTATTTTGCCATGAATAATTCAGCCTGGCTCTACCATTCACTTGGATTCATGTGCTGCAGATAATCACATTCAGCCTTTCCTTGATTTCCAACAAGATCAAATTTCAGTTCCATTTCATGTCACCTCTTGGCATATATGCTCAAAACATCAAGTTCTATTGAAACAAATGTAAAGAAAAGTGCAAGACCCAGAGAACAGTTGGTGTCAATATGGTGCATCACATTTATGTGACAAAATCAATCTAAAAGGAATGCTTTCAATTCTCTCTTACTACATATATCAGAAAAACATTCTATGAATATGATGTTTTAACTTTTGGTTTAGTATATTTTAGTACATACTAAAGGGCAAATACTTCAATTAAGTATATCTGAAAGACAAATTGTTCAATTGATTCAAGTAATCCTCCAAAGTTTCCATTTTGGAGCCAGGAATGAGAATATGTTCATATGAGACTTTTTGCTCCTGAGTTTTCATTCTAAACTAAAATACAGGGTATTCAGAAAGCCTTGAATCACAGTCTATAAGAAAATAGCATTATCTGTCTCTGCTCTGTTCTACCAGGGAATCTTCCATGGTGTCTTTCCTCACCCATCCAGCATGGCTGTTATCTGCCTCTTTCTCAAAGGGTCATTTCATCTTCATGTGATAAGGGCCATCCTCTTAGGGGTTCCTGTCTTGACTGCAGCAGACATCAAAATAAAACTGAAACCAGGTGTTCCTGTACACCAGTCCCTAGAGCACCCTTGCTTTACTGAAAACTGTTGAAAACAACTGCATTGTTACTTCCAGGTGTTCACTCAGAGATTCACAATAACTCATATCCTTTGACCCTATAATTCCACTTTTGAGAATCTTTCCTAAGAAACATGCTGAATAATTGAGAGAAATCCTTCTCAAAATTCTTTTCAGTGCTGACTTGCCAGGAAAGGTTGAGGAAACTAGCTCTCAGGCAGTGCCTGACGACCTAAAGACAACAATGCCTTAAAATGGTCGATATATCAGGCAGCCCTTATAAAGGATGTTTGCAAAGCATCTGCAATGATCTGGAGAATGCATTGGTTATGATGCTAAGTGGGGAAAAATACAGGATACAACCAGTACAAGTTCAACAGCTAAAAAACCAAAAACATTTAAATTACATATCACAAGCCCTACTTGTGTGGGAAAATGGTTCTGTGGTTGAAGAAGTCTGGAAAACAGTGAGTTAACATTAAATAAGCTGTTCTGGGGTTAATATGCTTTTGTAATTGTGAATCTTGCAGAGAGAGGATGGTATTCAGCGTTATCCCACCCTGGATTGCTGCCAAGTCTGCTTCTAGTGTGAGGTGATGAACCAGCAGAGCTAGGCATCGTGATCAGGAATAGGTTTTTTGAGGGTTTTTTTTTTTAAATAAAATAGAAAAGCCATGAGGAGCTATGATTAAATAATCCAGCACTATTTATAGAGTATCTGGTCTCTGCTACAGGTTCTAAGGATCTAGGGCCCTCCAGGCATTTACAGCCTAGTCGAAGAGGGAAGAAATACCCAGAAGAGACTATACTGCTCATTGTCTCAGCAATGTGTAGAAATAATGTTTAAACTGCTTGTTACCATCAACCTGTAATTCCACTCAAGAGATTCTAACCCTAACAAATTAGGCAGAAATACGGGTAAAGATTTATATAGAAAAATACTAATCTCAGTACTGTTTACAATAGTCCCATATTAGAAAAAAAATTTATATGTTGAGCAATGCAGCACTGAGGAAGAAAATACATATTGCTTCAAAATAAGTTTGAGATCCTCATGATGCGGAATTACATAAATACATACAATTACATATATAATATAAATTCACTTTTAAATATATGTGCATACATACATATATTTGAATGCATAGGACAAAGAGAGGAGGGTGAATATACAAAAATGTAAATGTGCTAACTCCAAGGGACCGAATGATGGAAAATGTTTGTTCAACAGTCTTACGCCCTAACGAGGAAGGTCCCAGTGTGCACTGGGGTAACAAAGCCCTGTCTAGTTCATCTCTCTGCACCCAGGGCAGGCAGCCTACATCATTAGCAACTCCATCCTGTCCACCAGGGGGAACCGGGAAAGCCGGAGTATTCCTTAACACAATGAAGATTGCATGCAAATGAAATCAAATCTATTCAGTGCTTCCTGTGAAACACTGGAGAAAACATGTTTTCTGCCTTTTTGATTCTGAGATGGTGGCTCCTTTTATAATCATTTTTCATAGTACAACCATGGAAGGGAAGAACAAAAACAGTGAACCTGGCACACAAAGCTGGGCTTGGGAGAGCATGGCAGAGAGCATACACCCTGCAGAAGTCTACAATTGGGCTGAGTCGGTGGCCTCTCGGCTTGATTCTTTGGTTCTGTGGTCACTCACCATCAGATAAGCTCTGAAGTCCCCACTTACCCCTCAAGGCAATGCTACATCCTCTTGACAGGAAACCCACATGAAGACTGGACTATGGAATGTAGCAAGTGTGTTTTTGTTGGGGCTTCTCAAATGAAAACCTTTCAGGATGCTAGCATTGGGAGGCTTCTGCTAAATAACCAGCCAAAGAGAAAGGTCAGGCCTCATCTCAGTAGATTTTCTTTCAAGCATCCATCTCTGCTAAAGTCAAGAAAATGTGGACAGACTCTTTCCACTCATGTCAGGAGGCTCAAGTACACAAAAATGCATAAATCCCTTTACATTCTTTTGAAACTGTGCCCCAAGTCTAAAGGTCCAGTCATATCCCCTGTCTTGGGTGATCCAGAGGATACCACCTTCACTGACCCCCAGCTGCACCTGCAAGGAAAAGTAATCACTCACCCCTCAACCCAATCCCATCGTCTTGACCTAGAATCCTTGGTGTTGTTCTTGTTTTCACAGGCATTTATCACAACGTTACCACAATGTGGCTGTCATCCTAGGACTTGGGACTCACCAGGAGCAGGGAGCACATGCTTTTTGACTCCATTTCCCACAGTACCTGACCCACAGTGAGTAGAGGTTGTAGAGTAAGCAAAGGTAGTCATCATTATGGATGCTCAAGAATATATGCATATTGAACTATTGCTGCTTTTACTTGAGGAGTGAAGAGTTCATGCCCCCCGGGCATGAACCATACTAATTGTGTTGAACTGAGGACAAATAATCCAAGTCTACACACTAGAAGTCTTCTAATGACTTTGCTTGGACTCACATCACAGTTTTGTACTTCAGTTGTCCTGGGAGTCATGCATAGGAATATGGTCTCCCTACCTGCTGGAAATTGTCAATGATGCTGCTCTAAGAATGCATATAGGCCCTACAGCACTCACCCTGGCCTATTTTGGAGTTCATTTCCCATGCTACCTGCTCCCAGAAACCTCTCTAATCCTCTCAGAGCAATGGAGGCTTCTTTTCTCCTGTAGTTCAAGGTTCTGGCCTGCATCTCCTTTGCAGGTCTGAGCCAACTGGTCCCCAGAGAATGCCTTAGAGGGGAACACTAGCTGCATTCCTTGAGCACCAGCACATCTCTCAGTGTCCAAAGGCCTTACCCTCAAGAACTCCAGTTCAGCATCCTCTCCCCATGGTGCAGAACAGAGCCGGTGCATCTCTGAGACTTCGACTTGGACCTGGAGAGCAGTCATTCTCTCTATCAGGCTTGCTGGGATGTAATCTTCAACTCGAAAATATGCCTTACTTTCTGTCTGCTGGAAATAGGATGCAGAAGAAAGAAGCATAACAAAGATGTCTACTGTGGGATTATGAGCAGAAATGTGTCTGTAGTCACAATCCCATTAGGGCCCCATAACAAAGATGCTTCTTTGAGGTGCCCACCAGGAACATCATCTACTAGCATATTATAAATGGGGCCAAACCCTATGACATGAATAGAAAGGAGAAAGAAAGGAGCCACCCATTTAGAAGTACCTTCTGTATGCCAGGTGGTCTTTAGAACTCAGTAGACTCTATATCCTTACAATAATTTGCAAAAGAGGAAATATTATGGCCATGGCCAAGATCCACAAGTAGGGAAAACATTTCATAGATTTAAGGTCATCCTTTTTTAAGTAAGGCTATAGTCTCTTGGGAGAGGCTGGGTCACCCACCGTCTGCTACTGAGTTCTCTGAACACAGACTCAGAGAGAAGAATGCTGAAGTTTGTGGAGGAGTGGTCTCAGGGTACACTGTAAAGAATGAAGATGGCAGGATTAGGCAGAGGGAGAAATTGACTCTGCTTTTGTTTCTGAATCAACTTTCTGTGGTCTCAGGATGATTCTCTCAGTACCTTTGAGAAAACCCCAGCTTTGAAGTCAATTACATATGAGGAAAACACCTGGGAACTGGAACAATCTGGCCTTCTTTAGGCAGAGTGTAGGTGAGTTTGTCTGAAGCAGATCTAAAGGGAATAATATAGTGTATACTACATCCTACACTCCTGCTGTGCTACATACAGCCTTGTGGTGGTGAACAGCATCCTCCAGCTTGGTACTGGCTGATGCTGGTCCCAGACTCAGCTCAGACCCTCCAGCTTGGTACTGCTGATGCTGGTCCCAGACTCAGCTCAGACATTCAAAGGGAGAGAAATTGCTCAGCAATCTCATGCATTGAAAAGTATTTTAGATTGCCAAATCTACAATACTGACAACACCTAATGTTGCTGGGGATGTGGAGCAACAGGAGCTCTCTCATTCATTACTGGCAGGAATGTAAAATGGAGCAGCCACTTTAGAAGAAAATTTGATAGTTTCCTCCAAAACTCAACATACTCTTGCCATAGGATCAAGCAACCATGTCCTCTGGAATTTACCTGAAAGAGCTAAAAACCTGTGTCCATAGAAAATCCTGCACAGGGACTAGGGATGTTGCTCAGCAGTGAAATAATTGCCTAGCATGCATGAGGACCTGATTTTGATCCCCAGCAACAAAAACAAAAACAAAAAACTTACACATGGATGTTGATAGCAACTTCATTCATAATTGCCAAAATTTGGAAGCAAAGGCTATCCTTCGGTGGGTGAATGGATAAACTGGTAATTCCAGACAATAGAATATCATTCAATACTCAAAAGAAATGAGCTATCAAGACTTGAAAAGACGAGAAAATTTAAATGCATATTCTGAAGTGAAAAAAACCCATCTGAAGAGGCTAAATGCTGTATGGTTCCAATTGTATTACATTCTGCTATGAAGACAGTAAAAGATCAGTGGTTGCCAGGGGTTAGGTGGAAGGATGAGTAGATAGAACTCAAAGGAATTTTAGGGCAATGAAACTACTCTATATGAAAATATGATGGTAGATATACATCTTTATACATTTGGCAAAACTTGTACAATGTATAACACCAAGAGTGAAGAACCCCAGGGTAAACTATGTTCTCTGCTAATTGAGTTAATGCAGCTTCATTGGTTGATGAAATGTATATTTTGGTGCATAAGGTTTGTAGTGTTCAGACAGGGAGACAATGAGCATGTGTAGGAGCTAAGGGATATAGGAAATTTCTGTACATTTCACTCAATTCTGCCATGAACCTAAAACTGCTTTGATATGGTTTTGGTCCTAAATGTCCCCAAAGGCCCATGTGCTAAAGGCTTAGTCATCAGTCTGTGGTGATATTGAGAGGCAATAAAAGGTAGGGCCTAGTGAAAGAAAGTTAGGTCACTGGGTTGGGTGGCTGTCTTTGAAAGAGATATTGGGACCCCAGCTCCTTATTTTCTCTCTCTCTTTTTTTACTTTCTCATCCCAGCAGGTGAGCAGCTTTGCTCTACCACAGGCTCCCAACCATGATCGTCTACTTCACCATGGGCCCAAAGCAATGGGACCAAGCAATCATGAACTGAAACCTCCAAAACCTTAATCTGAAATGAATTTTTCCTTCTTATAAGTTGATTATATCAGCTATTTTGTTACAGTGATGGAAAGTTAACACATCCTCTAAAAAATAAAGCCTATTAAGCTGGTTGTGTTGGTGCAGGTCTACAACCCCAGTGACCTGGGAAGCTGAGGCAGGATGATCACAAGTTCAAGGGCAACTTATTGAGAACCTGTTTCAAAAGAAAAAATAGAAATGACTGAAAATGTGTCTCAGCACCCCTGTGTTCAATCCCCAGTACCATAATAAATTAATAAATAAATAAATAGTCTATTAAGATATTTGGGGGTTAAAAAAAAAAAACATTTAGGATCTTTAACCCAGCATCTCATTGCAAGGAATATATCTAACAGAAGAAGTCAACATGGAACTAAAAAAAGCTCCAGGCAAAAGTACATTTATTTCTATGTCATTTATAAAAGAGAAAGATCAGAAGCAATTTGAATGATAATAACAGTAATTATCACTTACATGGCAGTATCAGGTGAATGCCCAACAGTAAGACAATGGGCAAGGGAAGGCAGACCCAGCCCTGTGGACTCATAACAAGCAGCCACGACAAATGATCATCAGGAAGGCCATAGAGGACATATACCATGAAGTGAGAAAGCAGACTACAAATTGAATGTGGCAATCTTTACAACTGTATAAAAGTCCCTGCGTGTGATCAAGGCTGGAAGAGAATGTGCCCAGAGGAAGGTTGTTCTGCCGTGATGATGTGATTAAGGAGATTTATTTTTATACTAAATTGCCTTTGTCTCCCTTTTTAAAATGCAAATGTAATCATGTTACTTCCCTGCTTAAAATTCTTCAGGGGCTCCCAATCTTTCACAACAATGGCTTGAAAATCTTTTTTTTTTTCCCAGCACCAGAACCACTTAATCAAACAAAACATAAGTCCCTAAGGAGGGTATACTAAGTCCCCCCAAATATGACACGTTATCCAACCAGCCTGATAGCCACCTAAGCTCAGGCCATGGTGAAAAACCTGCAGCTTCCTGGGTGGGCTGGCCCCCTCCTCCTGCCCACTCAATGACACAAAGAAGGGCTCTCCCCTCCCTAATGCCTTTGTCATTCCCACTATAGCACCTAGTGCAGAGTGAAGCAAAGCTCTAGAAGTGTGTCCTGGTTGGGCTCTCACTAACTTACCTAACCTCACAGAGCTGCATTTTCCTCAATTGCAAATGGAAATAATACTAGCTTTTCAGGGTTAAATAAGGATTAGATGGTGCTAAGCCTAAAGCAGGCAATCTATAAATTAGGACTAAGCACGTACATGTATAAATGAATGGGTTTGTATATTCTATTACCTTCATACACACATAAAAAAAAAAGGTCTGCATTAGGAATCACATGGTGAGCATCAGAGAACGCCTCAGAAATACTGTAGACCCCAGTGGTACCCAAAAGGTTAAGGCTTGGCAGGATTTGGGGGTAGGGAGTCATAAGTGGAGAATGAGAACAGATGGAAGCAGAAGCAAAATAAGGTCAAATAGAAACTAGACAGGCACAGGAGGTCGCCAGAATGAGGCATCACAGTAGTTAATTTTGTGTCAACTTGAATGGGCAATGGGATGCCCAGATATAAGTCAAATTTTAGGTGTATCCATTAGGGTGCTTTTGGATAAGATCGACATCTACATTAATTGAATAGGAAAGAAGATCACCCTCTTTAATGAGGCAGGTGTTTTTAGCCCATTAGTGCTATCATAACATCATACCACAGACTGAGTCATTTACAGAAAAACAGAAATTTATTTATCATAGTTCTGGATCCTGAGAAGACATCAGCACTAGAGTCTAGTAGGGCTGCTAAGTATTGTGCTTCCAAGAGGGAGGCTTGCTGCCATCTCACATGGAGGAAAGCAGAAGGAAAAAGGGAAACACTAAGCTAGTTCACTCCAGTCCTTTCTTAAGGCATTAATCCTTTCATGAGGGCAGAGCCCTTGTGACCTTATTCATGCCTCAAAAAGTCCCACTTAATGCTATCAAAATGAGGAGTAAGTTTCAATTTGAACTTTGGAAGGAACACATCCAAACCATAATAGTAGGATTCAAGCAATCTGTTAAAGGCCTAAATAAAACAAAAAGAAAGACCCTCCTATAAGAAGGAACTCCTCTCTGCCTTTCTGTCTTCAAGCTGGGACACAGGTTTTCTGCCTTTGGGCTCAGACTTGAAACACCATCTGCCCTCCTGGGTCTTCAGCTTACCAATTGCAGAACTAGGGTCTGGTCAGTCTCCATAACCACATGAATCAATTCCTTATAATAAAGCTGTAGGTAGAAGGATGGATGGATGGATAGATAGATAAACAGACAGACAGATATCCTATTGCTTCTATTTCTCTGAAGAACCTAGGCCTATATAGTAATTTTCCCCAGTCCTATGGGACCATGGGGAAAATTATGCTGGTGGAAAGATTCTGGACCTGAGTAAATAATACTCAAGTTCCCCAGGTGCCCTCAGTGGGCCTGCCCTTCAACCAAAGGCACCGCTTTGGTTCTGGTGAAGTGAGTAGAATAAAACCCCTCCAAGCACTAGAGTTAGACCCGGGTTTCACATCATATGTCTGAAACCATAGACTGATGGTTAACTGTAGTATAATTTTATATCAAAGCATTCCTAATTCTGGGGAAAGGGAAAGAAAGCTTGCAAACAAAAATTGCTATGTGCCAGACACTATATATGCATTATTATTTTCCATTCTGCAAATGAAAAAGCCAGGCTCAGAGAGATAACATGCCCAAAGTTAAGTAGCTACTGACCAGAAAAGTCAGGCTTTGACACCTTTCTGTCCAACTCCAGGACTCTGGCATCACTTCTCTGGATCATAGAGTTTGCTGAGGATAGACTAACATTTCCTTTGGAAGATACCCTGTCCTGTCCAATTTGGCCAAATACAAGAGTGGTCTAGAACCTTACAGCAAAGTCAACTGAAGGATTCACAGGGGCACCAATAGCTCAGAGCATTCTCCTCCCAAAGGTCAGCACAAAGGCATGAGGGTTGCCCCAGGCCTCCCCAGTCTTAGAGCGGAAGATGCAAAGGAGCTCCAAGGTAAGCATCAACAGGGATGGAGGAAAGAGGGTGAGGGGGCCAGGATAGCTCTTGAATACTACTTTCCTGGGTCAGTTTGGTGTCAGTGCAGAAAGAAAGTCCCAGTGCCCTTGGGCCATGGGGTCTCCATGGAGTCTCCATGGGGGATAGGAATGGAAATTGCACTACAGGTCCCTGGCAGGAAAACTGCTGACTTTTCTGATTGAAGGTCTATCTATAGTGCTATCCAGTCCAGGAGGCTGCACTCAATTGATTTTCCACTCAGACCAATAGCTCTTGGGCATTCTCCCTGTGTTTCTGGTACCACTTTGGTTCTGGTGAATGAGTAGAACAAAACAAATAAAACCCTTAAGGCATACTTGATTCTAACAGAGTATGTTAATTGGCTTTCCATTGCAGTGACAAAATACCTGAGATAATTAACTTTTTAGGAGGAAAGTTTTATTTTGGCTCAGTTTCATGGTCACTTGGCCCTGTTGGTTTGGCCTTGTGTAGCACAGTACAACATAGAGGAAGTATATGGTAGAGAAAGCATGTTCACCTCATAGCAGCCAAAAAACAAAGAAAGAGAAAGAGGTAGAGCCAGGATTCTAAAATCCCCTCCAAGGGCATGTCCCCATAGACCTAATTTCCTTCCACTAGCCCCACTTCCTCAAGGTTCCACAGCCTCCCAATAGCATCACAGATTAGAGACCAAGTCTTTATACATGGACCTTTGGGGATTTTCAAGATCCAAATCATAACACGGAGAATGAAAATAAAATTGATAAATGGATTTATCATGCCAGGTGATGATAAATACTATGAAGAAACATACAGCAGTGTTATGGGATGCAACAGGACTTTGGAGACTCCAGGATTTGGTAGCAACTTCCAAAACTGTTCTGGGAGTTGTTTCAAGGCAACACTGATATAGTCAGAAAAGTGTTGTTCAAACTGTAGTCTGCAAACCATTTGAGAGTCATGAAATCCGTTGGCAGGCTCTTAACCAGCATTTTTTAAAACTAACCAGAATAGAAAGAGAAATATCAATGTGCATCACATGTAGAAAGGGTACAACCTATTTCCTGAAACTTTTGCCTCAGTTCTCTGTGTGCATGTGTGTGTGTGTGTGTGTGTGTGTGTGTGTGTGTGTGTGTGTTGTGTGAGAGACTGTTGGTTATAATGGACATAATTTTTAAAATTATGGGTCACAGCATAAAACACTTGAAGCCACAGTTCTCAAAAAAATTGTTTTTTAATGTTGAGCTGTATTTGCTCTTTAACCTATCACTGAGATGAGGCACACAAGCGTGTCTAAGTTAACCCCTGGTTTCTCCAGCCCATGCACATTTGGGAATTAAGAACACAGTTTTGTGAAGTCATCCACTGCATGTGTGTGTGTGTATGTGTGTGTGTGTGTTTTACTGGGGACTGAGCCACTGAGCTACATCCCTATCCCCTTTAATTTCAGTCTGACCTCAAACTTGTGATCCTCCTATGTCAGCCTTCCAGGCACTGAGATTATAAGCTTGAGCCTCTGCATCTGGATCATCACTTCTTTAAAGCTCCTGTCTCCAAATACAATCACATTCTAAGGTACTATGTATTATGGCTCCATCTATAAGTTTTGGGGGACACAATTCATCCCATAATACAGATAAAACTTTGGCCAAGCATGGCTCCTTAACTCAAGGAATGTAGCATTGCTGACCATCAAGTGCCCATTTATTTCTGGCCATGTCTCACTGCTTTATTTCTTCCTAGAAATGCAAAACCATCACCCTTACCTCTCAGTCTATGTACCTTGTTTAGTGTGGACTCTAGCCCTGGCTTCCAGGGCAGCCATGAGATTCAAGACCAGCCAATCAGAGTATGGCATCTCCCTGTGTGGTGATTGGTTTAGCATGAGCACCTAACTCTATCAGAACTCATGAGGTGAGCCCAGGATTTCTATGGCCTTTTTTAAGAGAGCACATCCCCTTTTTGTGCTAGGCTGGAGCCCGGAGGATAGAATTGGGAAGCCACTGGAAATAAAACAGACATGGAGATACACCCCAGAAACAAGAAGTTCTAATGACAGTATTTGAGTTTTCACAGCCTACAAGCCCTAAACATGGTAAACACCCCATGTAAGTGTTATAGGGCTGGAGGCTTGTCAAAAGGGCAGGGGGTAGGTTAGGAAAGGACCTGGACCTGGACCTTTCAGCTCTGCACACCAATAAAAAAATGACACATTTTATTCAAGCCAATCTGAATTCAATTGCTGTTTGCCATCAAGAGAGCACTTACTAATCTGTGCTGGCCAAGGGTATGGGCAAGATGGTCAAAAAGTCCCAGAGGGTACAGAGAAGAAATCAGTCTATTATTCATGGGGGCAGGAAAGCTGTGCATTTTAGGTCAACCAGGAAGAGGGTTATGGTTGTGATAAATATGCATACACTAGTGGGGAAAGCATATGAGGTCCATGTATGTACCATTTCTTGGGATCTCAAGGATTTAAAAAGCCACTTTGAGGATTTCTGGGGCATAAAGGTAGGGTTATTAAACCTCTTAATTTCTTTCTTTTGAGCAGTGGACTTCCTCCTTCAACAGCCATTGTGTCCTCTCTAGAGCATCTTTCTCCAAGTTGAGTATTCCCCAGTAGTACCCAGCTATTGTCACATAACAGTGAGCACCCTTAGAGATAAAGTCCAGCATGCTGGCTGGGAGGCCACTAGCCGTTACAGTTTGAGTTGTAAATGCCCCCCTAAGGCCCCTATACTAAAGGCTTGGTCACCAGCCTGTGGCACTATCAGGAGGTGGTGGAACTTTAGGAGACTGGGCCAAGTAGAAGGAAGTTAGTCATTAGAGGCATGTCCTTGAAGGTGATATTGGAACCTGTCCCCTTCTTGTCTCTCTCTTTGCTTCCTGGCCAGCATGAAATGAACATATCTACTCTGCCACACACTCTTGCTATGATGTACAGTGCTGTCACAGACCCAAAGCAATAGGAACAAGAGCCTGTGGACTAAAACCTCTGAAACCATGAGCCCAAATAAACCTTTCCTCCTATAAGTCTATTATCTTGGGTATTTTATAACAATGTTAGAAAGTCGGCTAAATACCAGGGGAGAGACCAGTGGGAACTTTACCTCCTTGACACTTTCTTCTCTGTTCCTAGTAATGCATTTGGAGATGGATTCCTTATTTGGACTCCATATCATCCTGCTGAGTCACTTGCTAGTTCCCTCTTGAGGACTGTGGTTAAGCCTCTTCATATTTTGAACATGGATGAGGTGCATCGTGCACCAAAAACTATACTAAATTGCTGTCTGTAAAAGCTTACCTTGTCGGTCTCCCCATCCTGTCTAGCATCTCCATCTTGAATCCTACTTAAGTATATTACCATCATCTGTTACCATTAGGTATATATTAACATCATCCTTCCCTAGTTTCAGGCATCTGCAAATTTGAGAAACCAGTCTCCTCTGTTAACTCCCTGAGTACTCAAATAGAAGATCATCACAAGCAAGTTTGATCAGTGAAACTTACACAATTCTGCTGCCCTGGCAAAGGCTTAACCAACAATATTTGAGCCACTCTTTGAGTAGCAGTACATCCCAGCAGAATCAGTACTGGCATTACAGTATGACACACCTGTTCCCAAATTTAGACTTTAACATTTACTAGCCACATGAGTCACAGATTATTTTTCTGGAAAATGTGAGTGTTGATACCAATCTTGCAATGTTGCTATGGGAGTTAGGTGAGTTAACACTAAGTCAGTGGCAAGGTCAGCATGATCTCTTAATAAAGGTTGGTTATTATTACTGATGATGATAATAGGAACTCAATAAATACATAAGTTTTTAGTTTTTAGGAGTACTATGGTTTTGATGTGTTATAAGTGTCCCCCAAGGGACACTCTGTTATAAAAGGCTTGGTCTCAAGATTAGTATTATTGAGATGTGGTAGAACACTTGGGAGGTGCAACTTAGTGGGAGATCCTACAGTTATTAGGGTAATTCCCTTGGAGACATCATGTCACTATCCCTATCTTTATTTCTTTTTTTCTTTCTCTCTTTCCTTCTCTTTTTCTCTCTTTCTTCCTGTCTGGTAATGTAAGCTTTTTAACATACATACTCCTTTATAATAGGCTACCACCCACCAATCTCACTAGAGATCAAACCAATGGGGTAATTTAATCTTGGACTTTGAATTTACAAAACTGTGAAGTAAATAAACTCTTTATAAGTAGGCTGCTTCAGTTATTTTATTGTAGTAATGCAGAGCTGACTGATACAAGAAGAAAACTATCAGGCTAGAACAACATTTCAATGCATAAATTTGATTTGTTTATCTTTGTATCCCCCAGAGCCTAAGAAATAGCACTCATTGAATGCTTAATGAATGGACATATGGATGAAGTGAATGGATGAATAGATGGATGTAACTGACCCTAATCTCAGTGGTAGATACTAACAACACTTATCAAAAGCAGAGTCTCCCCATTCCTACAGTCCTACCCACCCCATTATAATGTCTCCAGTGATCCCACCCAAAGGTCCTAGGTGTCCACTCTTACCTCCTTAGGGTAATTGCCAAACTCAGCCTGCAAGGCGAGGACCCCCAGCTGTAGCAGTGTCTCATCGTTGCAGTGCAGCCTCTCCTCAAGGATGTCTTTACGAAGCTGCAGGTAAAACTGATGCCTTGTCAGGCTGTCCCTAGCAAAGAAATGCAGGAATAAAGGAGTTTGGAATGCTGAGGCCAGAACACTGTACCAGAGGGCTTTGCAGTCCGAGAGGTAGGAAAAGAAGGGAAGACAGGGTACAACCCCATAGAACCCAGAGGACAAGCCAGGAAGGCCAGTGTGGTCTCCTTCCTCCATACCATGTCCCCTGCCCCTGGTGAGGGCTGCTCTGTGTCCAGGCATTTGACACACCACCTACAGAGATATTTGTGGCTGTGGTTGGAGAAAGAAAACTGATAATAAGTCAGGTAGTATTTGTAGCAATCAAAGAAATAAAGAGATCACCACCTCCAACTCCAAACCCATCTCCCTCTCCTCCAAGCTTCATCCCTAGGCCACTGGGTTGTGTGTGGAGGAAGGAAGAAGTATGTTTGGGGTTAGGGGAGAGAGGTCTTGAGTGGACTGTGTTTGAAACACAAAGAAAAGCTTTCATTTTGACTGGAGCCTGCCTCAAAAAAACTGATCCCCCTCCATCCCCCCCATCCTATCATATTAGAGTCCAATCAAGAGAAGATTAACCACCATAACGGTTGTCATTTATATGTAATTTACAGTTCCCAAAGCACTTGCCTACCCACTACCTGTAATGTCAGAGGATGGGCATAAGCTCCTTAAGGAACCAAGGGACAAGTTGCAGCACTCACTGTAGCAGCCCACAGTGGCTGACAAAGAACTTTATCCTCAGAAAGAGTGTGAAGGTGTCCGTGGAGGTCTTCATGAGCTGCTCTCTCCAGCCTTCGGGGGCTATTTTGCACAATCTTGTTTCATTGTTCAGGAAAAAGAACTCTTTGCCTAAGATGGAAATAGAATTTGGAGGGAAAAGCAGTAGGGGATGTTCCACCTCTCTGATTCACAGCCCTGAACCCTACACGAAGTCAGATGTGAGCTGTTAGTGTAGGGGAGAGCAAGACTGAAGACCCCTCATACCTGGTACCAGGGGACTTTTGTTGGAACCAAAAGGGGCTAAGACTAAAAGGTAAAGAAGAAAGGATCAAGGAAGAAAAACTCAGTACCAAGAGGAAAAACTATGATTATAGTCAGCCCTCCATATCCACTGGTTCTGCATCCACAGGTTTAACTAATCACAGATCAAAATTTTTTTTGACTTCATATGTACTGTAAATATACATTTTTGTCATTGTTTACTAAATAATACAATATTATATCTATTAAGACAGTATTTGCAGTGCATTCATTTTTATAAGTAATCTAGCACGATGATTTAAAATATGTAGGAAGATGTGTGCAGGTTATATGCAAATACTGTTTTATATAAGTACCAGAAGATTTGGATGTTTGAAAGGATCCTGGAACTCATCTCATAGGGACAACAATATTTATGTTAGAGAGATGTCCCTCAATATCTGTTTTTCAGCTACCATCTTATATAAATAAGATTATAAAACAATAGAAAGAGTATTATTAAGTTCCTGCCATGTGCCAGTCACAGGCATCTTATGAACTAAATGTTTGTGCTCTTCTAGAATTCATATGTGAAGCCCTAACCTCCGAAGCGATGGTGTTTGTAAGGTGAGACCTTAAGGAGGCAATTAGGTTTATATGAGGTCTGGAGGATGGGGCCCCATGATGGGATTAGTGTCCTTTTAAGAAGGGGAGAGCTAGCACTCTTGCTCACTCTTATTCTCCCCCCCCCCGCCTCCCCCCATAAAGTCCCAGTGAAAAAGATTTACTCTACAAGCCAGGAAGCTAGTCCTCACCAGGAACCAAATCAACTGGCACCCTGATCTTGAATTTGTCAGCCTCCAGAACTAAATAAATAAATGTTGTTTAAGCCACCTGATCTACAGAATGTTTTATAGCAGCCCAAACTAAGACAGGATACAAGTGTACTCATATTTGTCCTTTGACTTTAAAAACTCCAGACCTTAATTCCTGCTGAGTTTGTCCTTTAGCCCCTCTGGAAAGGAGGTTGGATCAGTCCAAGTCAATGAAGGTGACACCCCCACCCCTCTTCTGTCTTCACAGGTGAACCTCACCCTGCCTGGGTGCTCTTGGCCACTCCATGGGGACTCCTTGGGTCAGTACCCACCCTGGACCCAAACAGTTCCCTCTCCTCTATTCTCCACTCCCTGAGCCTAGGGTGCACTATAGCAGCTCGCCTAGAGGTGGGAATCCTGCCTAGAGTTAGAAGGCAGAGTTTTTAAATGAGTACCCTCCCTTTATCCTAGATCATGTACATGATGGAGGGGAGGGCTGGTGTCTAGTAGTTTTAGTGGCCTTCCCCACTTAATGTCCACCCCTCCACCCTTGCTGCTGAATATGACTCTCCAGACCCTTCTCTTAGAGTTATTTTCCCCTAGGAATGAGTGAGTTCCCAGTACAATCTATTTGAAAAATTCTCCCAAGGTGGTCCTATCAAATTCCAGAGGTGGCTATTTTTCTGTGATTTTTCCCATGAGGCTCCTTGCTAAGCTGTACTGGGAACTGTCCACTTGGGAAGGGTTCAGGGGCAGCCACCTGATTGAGAGAAACAAGTAGAGGATATATCCTGAGGTTCTATTCACAGAGTTTTATTTAGATCACACATTATAAATCAATAAAAATGCACTGTTTCCTGAAGATGATTTTATTCTTATTTTGCAAGAGTGAGCATCCATTGATTATGATCCCATCAATGCATATTATAACTGTTCTTTTTATTTGTAAAAGGGATCTTGGGAAGAGCGGATGAGAGCGACAAGGAGGTAATGACACTCCTGCCAGCCCCAGTGTAGTACAATGAATAATCATAAGCTTGTCCTATTGGGGCAAAAGAACAGAGGAATATTGAGATTATTACACTTAGGCAGTGTGGGCTGGAACCAGCATTTAACCTAAAGGTTCATAAAATCAAACTCAACCTCCTTCCACTAACCAGCCACACAGAGGGTAAAGAACTTCAACTATATATAGCAAAGGAATATTTACAGTAAAGGAAAAGTCCCTTAATGGAAAGGCAGAGAAAGAAAGGAAATAAAGAACCCTTCCCTCACTCAGATCTTTAAGTGGATTCTTAACTTAAGCTCCTGGGATCAGGGTACTTAGTTCTGTCAGATAAAATATTTTTAACATTTGCTTGTCTAAGATCATGCACTGAGATTGATCAACCAGATCTGGCAAGCTACACACACCTACCACACCCTACATTTGTTATTTTGTGATAGTCTGCATACACTTGACACTTTTTTCACACACATACACTTGAAGCCGTCACCAGCTAACCAATATCTAGGAGCTTAGGGATCCAGATGCCTGCAGTGCCAAGGACTCCCCAGAGAACACCCACCTTTCAGGTAAGCCAAGCCAAAGTAGGTGATCTCTCCAAGATTGATGAAGGACATGACAGCATTGAAGACAGCTCCCACTGTGGACTCGATATCACATTTCACCTCCAGACACTGCCCGCTCAGCAAGACCACACAGAGGTCCCTGAGAGTCAAGTAGGATTTTCCTTTTTTGGTCTGAAAACAATAGTATCAACTGTCACAATAACCATGAGACATTGCCTTTAACCTGTGTTTGTTACTCTGCTGAGCACTTTACATGTATCATCTATTTTAATTATTAAACAACCCTAAGACACAAATATGATTATGATTCCTATTTAGCAGAAGAGAAATGATGGCTCATCTGAGATGGTAAGGGACTTGCACCAGGTTGCACGGTTAGCAAGAGACAGAACCTAGACCCAGATGTGAGCTCTCTGCCAGGCTCTGCAGGGGCCAGGAAGACTGGGAGGCAGGTCTGACCCATGTCTTTCCCCTGCAGAAATCCTGCCTGCCCTTGGGTTCTGCTTGCTGTCAGGACTGACTAGTGAATCACACAGCCTCCAGGTGTCCCCCAACTTGACATTGTCCCCCTAGGGTCCTGCCAAGCACAGGTTAATGAAATAAGCTGCAGAGAAAATTTGGACAGGTGCAGATCCAAAACAAGATGTGGCTAGAGCAAAGGGACTATAGAAACCAGTCGGCAGAGCTGCAGATACATACCAGAGTTTGCCTTCTGCTTTGTAGGCCTCCTTGGATTATTGCCAGGTTCATCTCCTACCACAGCCCTGTCTAATCACCATCACCCAGGTGAAGCCTCCCAGGCAGTTCAGCATTCCATACCCCCATGGGCTACTCTGCCTGACTTTGCACACGCTGCATGTGGGGTTGGGGGAGCAGAATGCTCTTCCCCACACCACAGATTCCTATAAGTCTGCCATGTCTGGCTCAGGACTCCTCCTTGTCTTGTCCTTCTCTAAGGACTAGGGTGGAGGATCCACGCATCCCCACCTCCACTCCTGTCTCAAAGCCTAGATCAGGGCCTACTCACACCTCTCCTGGGAAGTTCTCCTTAGAGAACAGTTAACAGACACTGGTATGTAGTGTTAGTACTCTAGGGGCCGTGCCTGCAGTCACACCCTGAGCTGCAATATTCTACAGGGGGCCATGTTCCTGTTAGGTGTCCTGAGACTGGGAAGTGTCGTCCACTTGCATCTGCCTTCTGCCTGGACTGTTCTTCCCCAAAAGCCCTCTTGCTTCTCTCTGTCCCCTCCCTCTCTTCATTCCTGTCTCTGCTCACTGGTGCCTCCTCAGAGCCACCTCCCTATATAAAAGAGCACTTCTCTCCCTCCCCCCGCCCCACCATCTCCCACCCTCTTGCATCCTTATTGGTCTTTTCCTTTCCTGTTATTTTAAACACAAATCACTCCCTGGCATTCTTTCATGTGTATGCATACATTTGCCTACCTTTGCCTCCCTCTGCTAGAATTTAGCCTCCACATGAAAAGGACTTTACTTTCCACAGCATAGATGGGGCCTAGAGCAGCGTCTGACATGTGCTAGATGCTTCTTTACAAATAGCCTGGCTAAATGAGAAGATGAGGGCTGAATTGAGACCAGCAGGACTGAGCTCCAAACCTTAGGAGGTTCATCTCAAAGGGGAAGGAGATGTGCTGAAGGATGAGGAGCTGCGGTGCCATGAGCGTGGCTCGGGTGGGTCTAGAGGACACAGAGCACCACCAGGACAACGTGCAGCAGTCAGAGTGCAGTCATCTCCCAGACTTGCCTGGCTGGGCCATTTTCTCCCCACCTCCCACTGCCCTGTGCAAACCAGTAATTACCACAACTGATCCAGGTAGATGTAGGGTCACTGGGGCCTCTCCAGCCAGTAGTAGGAACTCCGGCCTGGAAAACTGGGGAGGATATTCAAAGTCACTTACAGGGGAAAAAAAGAGGATGAATTTCCCCTATAGAATCACCTTTCCCTGATCCTCTCAGTCTTCTAACCCCCTGAGCCCCAAGGAAACAGGTTTCAGCATTATGGAGCTGACTTGAGCTGAGGCCTCAGCTGGGCTGGCCACCTTAATGGGGAACCTTACAGGCAGGTATAGGATATTGGCAACGTTCTGAGTCCTAAGTTGATTACAGGGATGCCTACATCATTAAATAAATGTTCACAATTCATAAAGCATCACATAAAATTTCATGGGTATTGAATGCATAAAGCACAATTATACATTATGTGCAATAAACCATTTTTTTAATTTTTATTGTTTTTTAAATTATATGATGAATACACAACAGTGAATCTTAGTATCAAGTACATACACAAGAAATTAATTCAAAAATAACTGTGGGTAAATGGCAGAAAAATCAATAGAGGGAAGAGAACAGGGGGTAGTGAATGGGAAGGGGAAGATGAGGTACTGGGATCTGAACTAAAACAACTTTTTAATAGAACAAAACTACCTTGATTTTTAGATTAGGGCAGAGATTTTTCCAGACTGAATGTTGAATGAACAGGGTCCATAAGCATCTCTCATTCTCAGTTTCACAATACTTCATGTTCGTGTCACACTTGTGACTGAGAAATCTTTAATCCTCATAGTTTTTAGACTCAGTCACCATCCTTTCAGGTGCATGCTCTCAACCCATTTTATAGAAGAGGAAATTGAGGCTTCAAAAGTCTGATTAACGGGTAGAGTCATATAACCAGCAACTGGAAGCTTCTAACATGTCCCCAAGAATACTCAGCAGGACTCCTGTCTCAAGAGGTCAAAATTCCAGCCATGGAATGGTCTGTGTCTGAAAGTTCTCAGTGGATGTGCCTTCAGTGACTAATCAGGAAAAAATAAAGCTTAAAAAAAAATAGCATGCCGTGTTCAGCTTCTGCTTTCCACATGAGTGGCTGCAAACTTCCTGACATCTTCAAGGATTCCACAAACCCCTTCTTTGACCACCACTCCCCCTGTACCCATGGAGACCAAAGAATGGCCTTGGGGGACTGCAGAGGGTCAGGTGGGGCAAGTGGGCCACACAAGAGGAGGGATATCTGGAGGCTATTTGCTCTGCTCACCTCTAATTTGTTAAGAGGCTTTAAGCAAATCTCCCTGTGACAGACAGACAAATGCCTTCTGAGGACATCTAGGTCTGATGTTCCCAAGGGGTCCCAGATGGTGAGACAGAAGGCCAGGCAAAGACAACCTCCTCACTGAATAGCCCACCCAGAGGCGGCTCTTCATAGGTCCAGGAAGCAATGACCTTATGGTCACTGTAGCCTTGCATGGTTGTAGGATAGTTTTGCAGCTAATGGCAGTATTGTATAGTAAGAAGGTGTGACTTATTCTAAACACTGGTGTTGTAACAGGGATTTAGAGTGGCTGCCTTTGCCAAAAGCAGTGACTGTTTTTCTCAGGCTTGCAGATGGCCCATCAATAACTAAAAGCAGGATAAAGATTGGCATCTCTGCCTTTGTTTTCTCTCTCTCTCTCTTTTTTTTAGGGGGTGTGTGGTTACTAGAAATTGAACTCAGGGGCACTCCACCACTGAGCCACACCCCCAACCCTATTTTGTATTTTATTTAGAGACAGGTCTCAATGAGTTGCTTAGCACCTCGCTTTTTCTGAGGCTGGCTTTGAACTCGAGATCTTCCTGCTTCAGCCTCCCACGCCACTGGGATTACAAGCATGCACCGCCATTCCTCGCTATCTCTTTTATTACCTTAACCTTTGGGTCAGCTCCCTGCTCAGTTCTGCATGCAGGTATGCTAATCACTTAAAGAGTATTCATATAAAAATTTCTAAAACAAGATTTATGAGCCCTAAACTGACCTAACCAGTCTCATTTCCCTTCAGGACTGAGGCAAGATGTGCAGCATCCTGCTTTAAACACTTGGGGTGGTGCCTAAAATTCTTCAGTCATTGTTCTACACCTGCCAGGATTTGAGGGAGGCAGGCACATCACCCCATGATAAGATTGCTTCCTTTAAGCAGGAGCAATCATCTCATGGGAAATTTGCTGCCCCCTCCCAGGCTCACAGATCTGATGAATAAACATCCTGAGCAACAATTGGAATTTTTCCCCTCAAGTAATTAAAGACTTCTCTGGAGCCACCTTGCAGAACCAAACCTGAGAGAATGATCAGCCAGACCACAGTTTGCCCATTGCTGCTTAATTATGCATACTTCTTGTTCCCTGCCTCAAAACTTCCTCTGTTTAAACCTAAAGCACCTCTCAGTACCCTGAAGACAAGGTTGAGATGCTGGATCTCACTTTGCCTTTCCAATATGGCCATATTGACTAAAGTTCTTTTCCTGCTTTTTATCATCACCTTTTCTGTTTGATTTTTGGGTTGAGTGGCCAGTCCTGGCTTGTTGGGACCTCTGCAGTCAGGCATCTGACCTAGGACTTTGGCTTTTATTAAAAAAAATGGCTATGGCCAGCCCCAGGGCTGTTTCCAGAACACCCTTTTGGACAGAAAGTACATTCTGGGCCCACCCCTGATCCCACCTCTCAGTGCAGAATTGGCAACCTCATCCCTCAACAGAGCTACAGTGCTAGGATATATCCATCTTTTCTGTTAGCCTGGCCTCCAAGACTTGGACAAGTGGGCCTGGCCACTCTCTGGCCTCAACTCCCTACATGTCCCCTCAGCCTATTACTCTTTGCAAACCAAAAGGGAGACACTCTTCTCCCTAGAGAAGCAACCCCTCTGCAGTTCCAAATCTTGCCTCTGCATTTTGTCTGTCTAGAAGTCCTGTGACAAGTGCATTCTGCTTTATCAGTTCCCTTATCATATGCCATGCTATACACCAGTAGCTGTAGACTTCCTAAGAGATAAACCTGGCATCTTCAACTGATATCCTACACAATATCTATTGCAAAACCTGGCCCAGTGAGGCCACTCAACAAATACCTATGCCCTGAATTGCAAATTACAGATTTATGTCAGTTCATTTCTGTGAATCCTGCCTGGAAGACCCTACCTATTTTCAGTCTCTGTCTCTGTGTCATAACCACCTGCTCAACCCACCAGGGGAGTGTCTAGCCCTCTTTTGCTCACCTTTTTCTTTCTTTGAAGGAAATTCCTTTGAGAAGGAGCTGGCAGCTGTGAACTTCCTGCTTCTGCCAAGAGCACAGACCCAGGGCAGAGCCGCTGGCCCTCCTGCTGGTCATGGGGAAATGTACCTGCAAGAGTGCTGGCCAGGTAGAGAAGAGGTAAGTACTTGACACAGTCATGCTTCCATGCCATGAAAACCACCATGTGCAGGAGCTTAGCTGGGAAGAGTACACCTGCTATTTCATGTTATCTTTATCCAATGCCTATAGGGGAAACTGAGGCTGGCAGAAGTCAAGGCTGCACATCCATGGAATTTGGTGGAGGGAGTGAGGTACAAGGCCACAATCTTCTTCTCTCTCAACTCCAGGTCCCTGCCTGTGTGCTCTGGGGGTTATGACCCAGATCCCCAATAATCTCTGATCAGATCATGAGATCCCAGGGGTACTGACTTTTTTCCTTCAAATTTTATATATCGTTCAAAATATCTTGACAATAAACATAGTTATGTACTGCAAAATGATATTTTGGTTGACATCAGACTGCATATATGACAGTGATCCCATAATATTAAAATGGAATTGAAATTTTCCTATTATCTAGGAAGGCCAAAATCACCATACACAGTAGCACACCACTTTATGTTTTTGTGGTGATGCTGGTGTAAAAACACTTGCTGTGTTGCCAGTTGTACAATTATATACAGTGCCATTATTATAATGGATAATGATAATAAAGGACTATGTTGCTGGTTTATGTATTTACTATATTTCATATCGTTATTTTAGAATGTTCTCCTCCTTATAAAAAAGAGTTTACTATTAAACTGTATGCCACATTATGCCCATAGCAACCTCTTACATCATGTACTTACTGTGCTTCTTGATTTTTTTTTTTGTACTGGGGATTGAACCCATGGATGCTTAATCACTGAGTCACATTCCCAGCCCTTTTTTATATTTTATTTAGAGATAGGGTCTCACTGAGTTGCTTAGGGCCTCTCTAAGTTGCTGCAGTGAACTTGCAATCCTTCTGCCTCAGCCTCCTGGCTGCTGGGATTATAGTCATGCACCACCATGCCCAGCTTACCATGTTTCTTGAATACATCATTTTCTCTTATGTTTAATTTCATGTTGCCTCATCCATCACAACCCTAGGAGTCTATATAATACTACATATTTGTATGTGTATATATGTGTGTGTGTTTATATATGGCATTATATAATATGATACATATTATATACAATACATATATATCATTTTGGGTATACACACACCATATGGTGTAACAGGCTATACCATCTAGGTTTGTGTAAGTACCTCCTATGATGTTTGCCCAACAATGAAATGCCTAATGATGCATTTCTCAAAATATATCCCATCATTAAATAACAAATGGCTATGTCGGGGTTGTAAAAGCTCCTTTTGTTAAAAAAAAGAAAGTTTTAAATGGCAGGAAAAATCATTTCAAGGTGAACTTTATAACATCTGGTCAAGGTCCCAAATGTGGATGTAACAAGTATGACAAAACCCCTTGGTTGGACAATAGATACTATCACCATTCTCCTCAACAAATCAATATGCAAATACCAAATCCTCCAAACTTCAAAATGTCCAAGTTACAGCCCTGTAGGATTTGACACAACTTAAATATCAGTGTTAGACTGGTTGCAAAATGGTCACCTTCTTCTCCCTGCCCTTTGAAATGAATCTATATCCTTCTCCTGTCAACAGGTAGAACTCTTTTTCCCCATCCCTTGAATCTGGGCTGGCCTTTGGCTTGATCTGGCCAATGGAATAAGGTGGAAGTGGTGGGTGCCAGTTCTAGGAGCCCTGTACCCACACCACCCCTCTCCCTCTGCCACTGTCATTTAAACAATCCCAGCCTGGCTTGTTGGTGAAGAAGAACCTAGGGTTCCCGAGACATAGCCAGCCATCTCCAGGGGCAAAGCTGCCTAGCTGATCACAGTTGCAGGAGAGGACCCAGCGAAGTCCAAAAGACTTCTGAGATAACCATAGCCTAAATTACAAACCTGAAGAATAAGGAGCTAAATGAGTAAGTGTTGCTTTCAGACACTGTGCTGTGTGCACGTTAGTTATGTGGCAGATGTGGCAGTGGATAATTGCAACAACACTGAGGCAGGTTATTGTTCCATCTTTGAGCCTGAACATGGTTACCAGGGGAGACAAGGCGGCCAATGGCACAGTTGCCGCCAGGCCCTTTGGCACCTTGGCTTCATAGCTGCTTAAACATATTTGAGGTTGCTGATGGGAAAGGCAGGCATGTTCTGAAAAAGCAAGAGGCTTCTCATCAGTAATCAGTAAAAATGCAGAATACAGGTGCCTCACACCAACATCCCATACCAAGTTCACAGCACCCTGAGCACCTTGAAGCTCACCTGTTAACAAAGAGGCTGCAGCGACTGTGTGCCGAAGTACTCCAGCGTGGCTCCAGGGAGCTCTGGGTCTCTGTACTTCTGTCTGAAACTAACCAAACAGCCTGGTAGAGAGCATGGGCAGAGACAAAGGGTCTGGCTTTCCAGAATCAGGCATCCCACATTGTGGATAATATCACAGTTCATTAGCTGTAGGCCCTTGGTGAAATTACTGAATCTCTGAGTCTGTATTCTTATATATCAAAAATGGAAATGACAGTCATGGGAACCAGAGGGAATTATGGGGAGGTAGTGTTAAAATGGAATATAAAGTCTAATGGTAAAGAATAAAAGAACACCCTGTTTTAGAGAGGAAAAAATGATAACTTTAATCAAAAACATATAAATAAAGCAAGCAAGCTCAGATTCAGTTGAAAAGTAGAGAACAGAAGAAGATTTGAAGGTTATTTTAAAAGCCATTCTTTTAACATAACTAGAATAGTAACCAAAAAAATCTTCACAAGTTACTTTCCTTTCATTCCAGTTAGAAAGTCATTTTTTAAGTTTATCTTTTTGTTGCTTGTTTTAATAGGTTCTCATCAATTTGGACAGTTAGACTTCTTCTATTTTAAAAAGTTAACATTGGACATAAATGTTAAATTATAAAACCTTTCCTGTGGACATAGATGAGAACTGAGCTCAAATGCTTCTCTCCCAGGGCTTTATAAAAGAAAGGCATGGCTCAGGTTTTATCTGTCACCACACAGGGATGCCTGGACCACACAGGGCAGGGAACAATAGAAACAGCACCAGTGACCCATGCAAAAAATGCTCAGGGCATCTCACCCACCTCTGAGAAGATTCAGACACTCCAGGGCCGGTGCCACTGGGCTCTCGCTGCTTGTCCCTTGCAGCCTCTTCCTGAGCAGGTAACTTCGGCTCTGCTGCATGCAGGTGCTTTCTTCCACAACTCTTCTCTCCATCTGAGGGCCAAAGTCATCGCACATCCAAACCCAAGGTCAGAAGACACATAGATACATACAAACTACCTGGTCAAGCTGAGTCAGTAGAATTGTCCTACATTTGCAGGAGCCTAATATTACATCTCCAGCAACCAGAACATGCCCTGACTCACCACCCACAAGCACCCGAGAGGTGAGTCATTCACATTTGTGCCTTTCTCATGCATCTTCCTCTGTGCCTTTAAGACCCAGATCTGTGTCCTCTCCACTTCTAATTCTCTTCACCTCAGCCCCTCTGACCACTATTTATTTTCTTTTTCTTTTTTCTGTTTTTTTTTTTTTGGCACCAGGAATTGAACCCAGGAGTGCATAACCACTGAGCAACATCTCCAGCCTTTTCATATTTTTATTTTGAGACACGGTCTCACTAAGTTGCTTAGGGCCTTGCTAAGTTGCTGAGGCTGACTTTAAATTTGCTGTCCGCTTATCTCAGTCTCTGGAGCTGCTAGGATTACAGCCATGTACCACCATGCCCAGCTGATGATCTTTCTTTATTGTTCTACTCACATCTCTCTCTGTTACACTACATTACCTTGAGTTTGCCTGCCTGCCTGTTTCCCCTACATTGCTGTGTTATGCACCATTGCAGCTCACCTGGTGCAGTGCATTAATGCTGAATAAGAGATTGAAGTTTATTCTGTGGAAATGCCATAGGTCAATGCAGTGTCTGTCCAAGGACAATGACACACCATTGGAGGATAGACTATACTGTCTTTCAAATAAATAAACCCCTTTCCCCTACAAAATCTTCTAGCCCATAGCAATGTAGGCATGCATTCTTACAAAGGGGAAAATTTGCATGGAGTATTAGACCTTGACAATGATAAGGAAAGTGATCCTTATCAGAAAGGAACGGTCTGCAGGGCAGGAGGCTGAGGCAGAAGGATTGCAAGTTCAAAGTCAGCCTCAGTAATGACAAGGCACTAAGCAACTCAGTGAGACCCTGTCTCTAAATAAAATACAAAATAGGGCTGGGAATGTGGCTCAGTAGTGGAGTGCCCCTGAGTTCAATCCCTGGTTCAAAAAAAAAAGGAACAGTCTGCTGGCATGGAGAGCAGAGCGCAGATTCTAGACAGAGGGTGAACTAGCACAGGAAGAGTCCCAGCATAATGAGGAGTGCCTTCATGAGTTGGAAATGGACGAACAGAGGATGGGGAGCTTTTCATATGTTTCATTGTCACAACTACATCCCTGTTACTTGAGTGAAGAGATGGTGTCTCATGCTGCTTTGTGTGTCATATAACAGGTTTTGAACAAGAGATTTAACATGTTAAGGATGATAGGACACAAATTTTTCTTTGTCAGAAATATGAAAAGAGAAAAATACCTACAAATAACACAGCATTAGTGAAATGTAATTGAAGAAGATTTTCGGGTGAACTCATTTTAGTATAAAACTAACTAAAAACTCAAAAAATCTTCTGACCTAATTAGCAGAAGCCATATGTTCATATGCAGGAGAAAAGGGGTCCAAGAAGGATGCTAGGGATGGAAGAGGCTTTTACTGACTGATTTGTCTGTGCCCTATTCAGCTGTCCCTTCATCTCCCTACATTAACCTACATGACCCTACATTAACCTTGGTCTGGGCTCCAACTTGTCCCTGGACAAGTGCAGCTGCCCAGCTGGTCTCTAGCTTAGCCTTCCCGAACTTCATCTATCGTGAAAACTTCCTTATAAATCCAGGCATGGTGATGCACATTAATAATCCCAGCTACTCAGAAAGCTACAGTGAGAGAAATGAGGTCAAGGCCAACCTGGGGCAAGGTGGTGAGAGCTCATCTGGAAGAAAGAAAAAGGAAGGAAAGAAGAAGGAAGGAAAGATGGAAGAAAGGAAGAAACCCAGCCAGCCTTGTTACACTTTGTAACATGAGTACATCACGTGTCCCACCCTGCTTGATCTCTACCCTGGCTTCAAGGAGAACCAACTTCAGGTGCCATTCCTGCCCTGGATCTCCCCAGGGGTCAGGTGGATGCTATCTTCAGCTGAGTCCACTTCCTTGTTCAGCTTGTGCCTAATCCCACTGACTTCACATCATTACCCTCTCCTAGGAACATTTTCCCAATAAATAACTTGCACAGAAATCTCAGTCTCTGGATTAGCTTGAAGGGAAAAAGACCTAAGCCAGATACTGCCATGTGCCAGGCCCCTGGCTGGACACTGGGGATGGACAAGGCATCAAGCAGCACAGTCAGACAAGGGTAGCAAAGGGACTTCCCCAGGAATAAGATCACAGAGGGCGGGTGTGGTCAAGGTCAGATGAGGCTGAGTTGTATTTTAATAAGAGACCTGAATCACAGGTCATAAGCATGCTTGTTTTATGCAAAGAGGCACTTAAAAGATTTCAAGGACCTCAGTCATGTTAGGAATTAGGGCCTGCCTGAGGGTTTCATCAGAACTGCCCAATAGAACTGCAATGACCAATGATGAAAATGTTCTAGATCTGCCCTGTCCAATAGGGGAGTCACCAGCTACATGTGGCAATTGAGCACTTGACATATAGCAAGTGTGGCGGAGGAACTTTTTTTATTTTTATTTATTTATTTTTTTTTTGCAGTGCTGGGGATCAAACCAAGAGCTTTCACATGTTAGGCAAGCTCTCTGCCACTAGCCACATACCCAGACCCTTGAATCTTTAATTTTGTTTCATTTTAATTAATTATAATTTAACTAATTTAAATTTCAACCACCACACATGGCTAGTGGCTACCAGGTTGAAAATGTCAGGTCTATACTGACCTCAGAGATGGTTCCCAGAACCAGGCCCACCAGTCGTCTGATGTGAAGTTGGGCAGGAGCTGGGTACACAGCCACTTCTTCCTGATGGACTCGACAAGCTTCCAGAATTGACTGTAGTGGCCGCCGCCTGCTGGGCTGGTCTTCACACATGGTCAGAAGGATGGAGTGCAAGGGCTCATGGAGCTGTAAGGGCTGCAGAGCATACAGGGTAGTGAGAAGCATAGCACAGCTAGAGCAGCTGCTGCTGAGCAATACTGGGTCAGGTGTGCCCAGGGGACTAATGGAAAAGGATCCTTCATTACCACCAGCGCAGGTGCCTGCTCCTTCTGAGAGCTTAGGTGAACATGAGATTCTTCAACGAGGCCACATGATGCAGAGCAGTTACCTCTGCCTCCATTGTGCAAAGTGTGCTGCTCTTTAATCTCAGATATGCTTCAGCCTGACATGTGCTTAGAATACTGGTAAAAAACAGGTGCTGGACATGATGGAGTTACACCTGTGCCAAGCACCTTGGATCAGACCAGAGATCAGTCTTTTACTCATGGTTACCTGGGCAGCCTGACTAATTATTCAGGTAAGACTCAAGTCCTTTCTCCTAGATCTTGAACTCCAGGAGCCTATAAACATTGGAGTCACAGGCAGCAGCACATGTGCTCAGTCATCGTTGGTTGAACTTTATGTCACAGGCACATGTCAAGCAAAAGAAAAGCTAAGTCTTTTATAACCACTTCCATCATGCATTGAAGTGACCACCATTTATATGAGGAAGGCCTCAAATTCAGATTCAATCTCTGTTAGGGGCTGGGGGTATCGCTCAGTGGCAGAACATTTCCTAATCTATAAGAAACCCTAGGTTCCATTCCCAGCACTGCAAATCATCATCATCATCATTATCATCATCATCATCATCATCATCATCATGAATAACAACATCATTTGACTGTTTCTCCCACTCCAACCACCCTGAAAGTCATTTGGCAGAAAGGCTGCAATGCCATGTCAGGCAGGGAGCATCCTCTGAGGTGCCATCTTCAAGGGAAGCCAGGCTACCAAGTTTTATACTCACACAGCAAATTGGAGGTCTCTGTGTGTGTGTCTCTGAAACTGGACAGTTATTCCAGATGGTCCCTACTTTCAAGATCAAATTCCAATAAGAAAGATCATTACTTAAAGAGGTGAGGGCAGCACAGAACAATAAAAGCTTGGCCTGGGGAAGAACAGAACTGTGATAACACAGAGACAGGGGCCTGACCCAGGCTGATACCAGAGTGCACACAGGGACTCATTACAAGGAAAGTGGGGAGTGAGCTGTGAACAGAAGGAGCAGTGTGGGCATGGGCACAGAGGTGCCCACTGTCTGAAAGCAAGGGGCCATGGGCAGGATTAGGGCCTGTGGCAAAATGACAATGTGGGACCCCTTGATGCAAATTATTAAGACTTTCAAGATGGTGATAACACAGCATTATATCTAGCACAGGACCACATTCATACACCCATGGAGCTAATCCTGAGGAGTGCGGAGAACCAGAGAAGAATCACTCAGGTAGGAGCCCAGTTCTGGCCTCCATGTGGATCCTGCTGAGAGGCTAGAATGTAATCTTTGGGTATCCTGGAGATACCAAAGATTTCATGAAAGAAGGGTTGTGAATAGGTCTCTGTTTACAAAAGAGCACCAGGAATCACTAGGATTTGGGATTGGAGAGGGCAAGGGTGGGAGGGAGGGAAGAAGGAAGGAAGAAAGGAAGTAAAGCAGGAAGAAAGGAGAATTGGAGGAAGGAAGGGAAGGAGAAAGAAGGAAAGGAGGCAGAGAAGGAAGAAAGGAAGGAGGAAGAAGGAAAGGAAACAGGGGTGGTATCATCCGTACAGGTTCTCCAGCACAGGCTCTTATAGCACTGGTTTCTAAGGAATTCTTACAGTGTCAGGTGAAAATTTACAAAAACACAACTATTATAAAATGCCACCTTAAACAAAGGTTATAAGGCTCTATGCTTTAAGCCTTCTCACAGTCTTTAATAAACTACTCTGAAAAAAATCTTTGAGAGACGTTGCAGGAAGCATTTTCCACATTTGATGAGCAGGGAACCTTTTTGCAGGAAAGCATCTCACTTCAGGAAGGGCTTTTAGTACATAACTAAATGAATAAATATATAACTGTATCTTCAGTGTCTGTAAAATCCTCTAGTTTATGTCTTCCTCTGAGTGGAGATAGCAAATAAATCTCATCTTTTCCACCAGTCCAAACTTGTATCTGACTCAAGTGTATCTGAGGTTATTTCTGGACTTTCTAGCAAGAAGGAGGTGCGGTGTGATCAATTGGCAATGCCTGCCTGGGACATAGGAGGAAAGAGTGACAGTACCCATGTTCAACAGCTGTGGACCCTGACCAGCAACACCATTAAATTAATCCAAAGACACGACCTGGAAAGACTTGGGGCATTCTTATATACACACCTGGTTTGGTGGGACATGAAACCCTGCTGTCCAGTAGAGAGTCATTCCTAAAGAATAGACATGCATCTGCCCAAAAGAAAAGCATGTGATTAGTTTTCAATCATCTCTGCTATTCTAAGGTCCTGCAAGCCAAATACAATTTTATTTCTGCATATACACATACTATGTTCTAGCTGGCCCAATACCATCTGTACTTCCTTTTCTGCTTCCTACACTAGAGGCTATCAAGCCAGAATTTTGCTTTCTAGCAATAACACCAAATTTTGGCAAAAGATGTAAGGGAAGTATATTAAGGGGCTTCCAAAAAGATTTTTTTTTTGCTGCTTTACTAACAAGTATATATGACTCGTTCCACACTTTCCACCTTGTTTCTGCCTTGAATACTGATATGATATATGGAATCAGAGCAACCATCTTGTGACTATGAGGAAACAGGCATAAGAACAAAAAGCCAGCAGATTAGGGTAAGATGGAAATATACAGACTGAATCCTTGATGGCATGACTGAGTTGTTGACCAGTCCCTAGACTTGTTAAGTAACTAATAATGTATATCTGTGGCTCTAGCCATTATATTTTAAGCTGTTTCTAATAGCTGAAGGTATCTATACATGAAATATTATACACCATGCTGATTAAAACGCACCATATCTTGTCAAAAAGAAACATTGTATATTGGAAAGAACATTTTCTGATTTCTCTGAGCCTATTTTTATCTGTAAATCAAATATTATGCCTCAATACTCATGAAGATCAAGTAAAAAGTTCTTGGATACAATAACAACAATTGCCATTCTCATTATTGTTTTTATTGAACACGGAGCATTCACAATATAGCAAGCCCTATTAAATATTTCATTTATATAAATTTTATTATTCCTCACAACAACGCTTTGAGGCAGGTATTTTACAGAGGAGAAAACTAAAGCAAAGGCAAGCTAGTAAATTTGCCCAATAAGACTCAAACCTGGACTTGGAGCCAGGTCATAGAGCTCCTGCCCTGAGCCACCTGAGTCACCTCCGAATCATAGTAGTCCTAAATGACTTCATTTTTATAGTGTAGTGGGGCTTCTATTATAAAGGCCATTTTCCCCTAAGATCTTTTCTTTCTTTTTTTTTTTTTTTTGTCTATGGAAGCAGTTTATCCTGGGTAACAAATCATGTTACAACTTGATGGCTTTCAAAAACAAGTACTTATTTCTTTTTTTTATCATTAGTTGTTCAAAACATTATATAGCTCTTGACATATCATATTTCATACATTTGATCTTTTCTAAGGAAAAGGTTTAGGGCCTTTGGAGGAGGGACATTGAAGGACACGAAACACAGCATGTGAAAACAGTTGCTTCAGCAGCCCGCTGGTCTAACAGTGGTTTTGGTTTTCCACATGACAAGGTCAAGATGTATGTTCCATGTCACCTGGGCTGATTAGCTCTTGTCTTTGAAATTGAACCCTTCACCCAGCCACCAGCCCTGGGATGAATGAGACTAGGTAACATTCAGGGAAGTTCACAAGTTATACTCATTTCCAGGGAAATAACCGTAAAAGCAGACATGGGAATAGCACCCTGAGCACAGCCAGAGGCCCTGATCAATCCTGGGAACCTTCCTGGATTCCAAGGGCTCTGTCCTGAAGTGTCCTAGGGCCAAGCCAGGCCACAGTGACAACAGGGTACATCCCAAATATTAAATCCAGCCCACTGGTAGGCGCTGACTGCAGAAAGGCAGTGAGACAGATTTTGAAAACAACTCCTGACTCAGTGGGAAAGAACACCATGACTGACTGGTAACATCTGCCATGCACAGGAGGGGTAATGACAACAAAGGTGATTTGTCGTTAGACACTTGCCCACATCTTCCACCTATACCTGGGATAAGACTCCAAGCAGTGAGGGAACTAGCTCCATGTACTGGTCAGAGAGGGATATTAGTCAAAGAGAGGAGTCCCTGTGCATTGTCCTAACCTTAGAGCAGGACCCAGGATAGGAGAAGGATCAGGCACAGCCATTCCTGGGGACACTCTCCTGAATGTCATCCCACCCTTCACAGACCTGTGCAAGTTGGATAAAGAGAGAGCTGTGTGATGCATGGAGGATAGTGGGTAACAGAACTGAGCTTTAGGGATCGTGTGAGAGATCAACGACCCAGGTAACCCTGCCTCTTGGCCTAATTAACAGTGCTTGAGTCTTCTGGTCCTGTAAGGCATTCACCATGTGTCATGCTTAGAGCTCATGCAACCAACCAAAATAGCTGTCTGGCTCCTTCAGAACTTAGTCCTTTTCCACACTGGCCCTTGTCCAGTTCAACTGGCCCTTCTCTGCCTGACCCAGACTCTGAGTCACATATCTATACCCAGTTCTGAGCTTGCTCTATTCATTTAGCCTAGGGGCTCATGGAGGAAATTGTGCAGGAGGGCAGCATGTGTTTCTCTAGTTCAAGGGCAGAGGAGTAACTAGGCCTTTCCAAGGCACTCAGTGGAGGCCAAACTGAAGTTGGGAAGGCAGTACCTGTGCTTCACCAGGGAGTCCTGGGAGGGCCAGGGAAGCACCCCGGGAGCAGTCAAGAACTGTTTAGAAAGCCGGGCACTGATACCTCATACAGAAGCTGTCACCCCAGAGCAATGAGAGTGAGAGAAAAAAGGAGAAGGGAAGCAAGGGCAGATGCAGCTTCACCATGCTGACCACAGAGCCAGCAGGAAGTTCCTGAGAGAAACAGCATTTCCAGATACACATTTTTCCCATGAAAGAATAGCAGGAAGTGCAGCAGACTTGGCTTCCTGTATCTCAGGACTTCTCTGGAAGTTGTGCCTGGGTCCCGGACATTTTCAGACTGCCTGGCACATCTCTTTACCGGTGCCTCAGAAAGCCAGATCCCAGGACTGAGCATGACACATCTGAACAAGTCCATAGCATAGGAGAAGAACTGGCATGTGTGGATCCTGGACCAAGCAGAAGAAATCTGAGTGGCACCCAAGTTTGTGTCTGACCCAGGTGTCTAGTGATTCACCTCTGGGATGCTAGCACTTCAGGGAAAGGTATATGTGCCAGAAGTACAGGCACAAAACTGCTGTTGGGGTGACACAGCCAGGGTTATTACAATGGTGATGTTTTCACTGCTGTCATATGAATAGGAGACACATGGACTCTGACAAACCAAATCTGGAAACCACTGAGGTCACATTCTCTTTTTCTTGGAGCCCAAAAGAAAAGCACCTCCAGTTCCAGCATGGCTCCTGAGAGGAGCATCATTTCCAGATCTGCACTTTTCCCATGAAAGAACATGGAAGAAAGAATAGAACTGGTTCCTTAAATACCTACTATGCCCTTCCCAGTGCTGTGTGTCTGCCTTATATCATTCTCACTTTGATTTTCTTTTTTTTTTTTAATTGAAACTACTGTCTACTGGAACTTTTGCAGTTCAGAAGGAAAACATGTTCCCTGTAGGAAAGCCAAAAATCCCCATTGATATTGCCATCCAGAAATAACCCCCCCAGACTACTTGGTGGTGCATGTGTTTTAGAACTTCCTCTCTTTCTCTTTTTTCTCTCTCTGCAAACTTGGATCACATTGTGTATGCATATATCAATGCATATATTGAATTTATTTCCAAGTCATTGAATGCACTTCTACAGCAGTCTCATTTTAATGCTTATTCTCATATCCGCTCTCAACTGATCATTCATCTTGTTTCCAACTTTCAACTGACATCAACAACTCAATGCTGAATATTGCTACAGCCGAATCTATCTTTACTTGGGTCTGAGGATTCCTAGTTGGGGACTTGGGTCATTTAATTTTCTGTTCTTTCTTCATGCTGCCAGTGGCAACAACAGACAGACCTTTTACTCCTAGCTTTTAGGGGACTTCGTTTTGAATGTTGATAATAGCCAGATCGTCTATGTCATATTACCCCACTATACAGATGTAGAAACTTGGGCTCTACAAATTTGACTTGCCCCTACCCAAGAGCTGGAAAAAAAAAAAAAAAAGCTTGAGAACAACATTCTTTAAATCTACTTGTGTTAGTTAGCTTTTTGTCACTGGGACAAAATACTTGGCAAGGGCACTTAAAAGAGGAAACGTTTATTTTGTCTCACAGTTTTAGAGGTTCCGTCTGTGGTGGGCCAGCTCCGTTGCTCAGGACCCAAAGTGAGGCAGTACAGCATAGAGGAAGGGCATGGTGGAGGGGTGCTGCTGTGTTGATGGCAGCCAGAAAGTAGAGCAAGAAAAGAAAGGGCCCACAGAGAAGATGCACATCCCCAGTGACCCACCTCCTCCAGATATGCCCACCCGCCTACAGTGACCACCCAGTTAGTCCATTTAGACTAGGATGGATTGATGAGGTCTCATCCTTCATAATCTAATAATTTCACCTCTGAATATTCCTGCATTCATAACAGAGGCCTCTTTGGGAACAGCTGATATCCAAACCATTAATACCCACTCTACCTCAAGGTAGAATCAGGCGCCTCAGGATGGAACTGGGAACAGGGAGTACTGCCCATTAGCAGGCCTTTCCCAGGGGACAGGAGACAGGTACTACAGAGAGGCCACACATCTTACCTGTGACACATCAAGCAGCTCATCCTCACCTTGCCCCTGTAGCAATTCAGGGGCCTTGAAAGGAGCAGCTTCTATGTGAGAAACATGGTCTTGGAATGAAAGACTTCCAGTTGCAGAAAGCAGGGCTGACCAGGGGCAGACCACATAATCCGAGGAATCTGAAAGCAAGTCAGCGATAGGGGTATGGAGAAAGGGCCACCATCTGGAGAGCCAGCTGTGGGACTGTGTCTGGTCAGTGCCTAGAAATAACTATCTCAAGGGTGGACCATGAGCAAGACCTCGGGGAGACACAGAACTGAATTAATTCAATTCTTCTAAAAGGGAGCATCAATTACAAAAGATGGCTATAACCATGGCCAGGAATTGAGCACCTGCAACCAAATTCATCAGTGGATTGAGAGTTTCAAAGCAAAAGATAAAAAAAGGTCAAGTCCTACTGGAAATTGGCACAAGCCTGAATTCTCTGCACCCAGACCAGAACCCAAGGCAGCTGGTCTTCTGGGAGCTCTGTATCTGTTGTCAAAACCTCTAGGGCAGGGAAAAGAGAGTGAGGCCTCAGGAAGAAGATGAATCCAAAGGCACAAGTTAACAGCCTCCATCTACCTGCCAGACTAGAACAGTCTCTGGCATGGAGCATGTGTGGTAACGTGCTGACAGCCTCTGCTGCATGCACTGTAGCTGCCAAGCATGTGGGACTGATGAATTGACAGCAGAGTATGGGCTCTCAGTGTTTGTTTCAGTTACCAATTTAATGCCTCACAGCTCCAAATTTATTCTTCCATACACAAATTCTTCCCTTACACAAATCTCCTAATATTTAGAGCACCATGACAACCTTCTCAGTAGAGGAGACAGGAGAGTCATCACAGGACACTAGTGCTCTCCTTCTGTTGGCTATGGTCAGCAGTGGTATGAGCATGTGATCACCAGATGATGGCACAGTCCTGGACTCAGGCCCAGGACAACAAGGTCCCTTGGTCACTCTCAAGGCCTAACCTTGCCACATGATCCCCTTCTCTTTAACTTATCTATACAAATGGTGCAGGCTCATTCTTTCCTGCCCACAAGGGATTCCTGCTCACCTGAGCCTGCCATTACCCCAAACTTCCACTCCCTCGGCCACAATTGACAATTGCCTGTTCCCCACCTGAGCCATGACTACACACCAATCCCAACTAAGCAAGCCAGTGAACTTCATCATCATGATCTGCAAGCACAGCTCCCCCAGCAGGCCCGAAACCCAACCTGGGGACAGAACTTGCCTTCAAAGTCTGTTCCTCACTGGTACCCTTCTCAGTTGGAGGGCACCATGAATAATTTTCTTATATCTTTCAGTTACTCTTATATATCTTTCAGTAACTCTTAATAACCTCCCCTATTTAGACCGCAGTGCATGTTCTGTCTTCTGGAAGGACACAGGACTATTACACCATCTGACAGAGTATGGGGGTATCCAGGGTGACTATCCTCCGCCTCCCATCTCTAGTTGTGCCCAAATAGCCCAAGAGATGGAAGAAGGCCAGCTTTTTCACCACTGTGACCAAAAGTCCTAACAAAAACAACATATAATAGGAAAAGTTTATTTGGGGCTCACAGTTTCAGAGGCATCAGTCCATAAATGGCCAACTCCATTGCTCTGGGCCCGAGATAAAGCAAAACATCATGTCATAAAGGTGAGAAGGAGGAAAGCAGCTCAGGACTTGAGAATCAGGAAGCAGAGAGAGAACTCTGCTCAGCAAGAACAAAATACATGCCCCAAAGGCCCATCCCCAATGACCCACCTCCTCCACCCACTCCCTACCTGCCTCAGTTAATCCTTATTAGTGGATTAATGTACTGATTGGGTTAAAACTTTCACAACCCAATCACTTCACCTCTCAACTTTCTTGCATTGTCTCACACATGAGCTTTTGGGGGGACACCTCATGTCTAAACCATAAGAGGCCTACATTGCTCCAGCCAGCACCTCCCTAAGCACTATGCAAGTACCAAGGCAGAAGCAAGGCCTTCTGACTCTGCCACATGGCATGGGTCCAAGAGACAGGCTAGTCTCCCAATGTAGCTGTGTGGAGGGTGCCATTTGCCTGCTCATTTTAATACTTCAGACTAATAACTAATTGAGAAGCAGCAGCCAAAAATATGCTTTATGGGAAGCTTCACATTCAGTTCCCTGTGGCTTCACTGCCCCAAACTCTTACCATTGTGAAGGTCTTCCAGGAGCCGCTCAGCAGCCAGTGACAAGAGGGACCAGAGTTCTTCCTCAGACAGAGCTTCGCCCCTGACCTGCAGGACACTGGCCAGTGTCACAGAAGCCAGGCTCATGCCTGCAAAGACACACATGTGGTAGAGACCCAGCAATGTCCACGAGCACATCTGGGCCAGCTCTTGTGATTCCAGCCCCTCTGAAGTACATGGATGTCATATTTTCATCACCTGCATCCCCAGGGCAGGGTACAAGGCCAAGCCTACTTGAGAAGGGAAAGGAATGTTCACTGAGGGGCTGGCCCAGATGCTGGTTGGTGGATGAGTGAATAGACAAATGGACTTCTAAGCAAAAGGTGAAGTAAATGAATGAATGAATGAACGAGTGAACCATGACAGGAACCCCTCCTCAGGGAGAGCTCCCTCTGCAGGAGAGGAGTGTGGGGGGCTGTGGGGGCATCCATTGTCTACTCTCCTTCTCGGTCTGAGAAAGTAGGTTAGCAACCATTTTTGCCTCCAACACATGTTTCCTGTCTTTCATCTCTAGCTGCCACACGCAGAGTTGGATTTGGTCCCAGCACCAGCCCTTTTGCCAGCACCTGCCTGAAGAGCAGGCAAGAATCCCTAGAAGGAAAACTGAGCTCCATGTTTCAGGAAGGGCAGACATGCAGAGACACTGCAGGAGCAGGCAGGAGGGCTGGGCTTCTATTCCCTCTCTTCTGAGAAGCATTCCTTTAAATCAAAGTTGACATTTCAGTGTCTATCCCTGCCCCCACCCCATGCACAAAGCCACCCCCCACTAATCTCCAGAGTCTAAGGAGCCAGTGACAGCAGGAAGAGGCCAGGCAGGCTTTTCCTAATCTGTTCATGTCACAGAGCTTTTTCTACAACCAGAGCTTAGGGAGGGAGGGGGGGTGTACTGGGCTGGGGCCGGGGAGCCCAGCATGGCACCCCCCCCCATCTCTCCATGGGCACTAAGCCAAGCTGTCCACTCACCAGCTGCTCAGCTTATCTGAGAAGAGAGACAGGTTTCTCGAGAACAAGCCCAGCTCTTATATCTCTACCTGGGGGCAGGAAAGGAGCTGCCTTGTCCTTAAGAAGACCTACTTGGAAACTGTTATTTATGAGAAAGTGTCTGTGAAGGGGCGGCTGTTCTTCCATTTACAGGCAGGAGAGACGTCCAAGTAACCAGGTAAACATTCACTGTGGGGAACTTGCCAGTCACCCTGATTTGGTTTCTGCACACTGTATCTGTACATGGAAATCCCACTGTGTCCCATAAATATGTACAATTACTATGTATAATTTAAATTTTTTCTCAAGTGATGGATTCAAAGCTCAAGTCCAGGCCCTCTATTTCCTTCTCTCTTCTTTTCCTTTCCTCCTCCTTTTTCACAAACTTGCTTGTGACTTATGGACTAAGCTTTCACATTTGGCCGTATTTTTCTAACTTTCTACAATGACAATGAAAGATAAAAAAGGAACAGGAGAAGACTGAATCCCAATCTAAAATAGGGAAGCAGGCAGGCAGCAGAGGAGGCGGGGGAGGGAGTTCCAACCACATTAAGAAGGAAAAGAATGCATTGAACAGCTTCTAGGCTGGTATGGCTAGCTGAGACCATCATTTCAAAGTTGTCATTCAGTGGAGGAAGGATGGCCTTTTCAAGAAATAGTGTTGGGGGGCTGGGGATGGGCTCAAGCGGTAGCGCGCTCTGGCATGCGTGTGGTCCGGGTTCGATCCTCAGCACCACATACAGACAAAGATGTTGTGTCTGCCAAATACTAAAAAATAAATATTAAAATTCTCCCTCTCTCTCTCTCTCTCTCACTCTTTCTTAAAAAAAAAAAAAAGAAAAGAAAAGTGTTGGGTCCACTGTGAAAAATATTAAACATTGGCCTAAACTTCACACACACACACACAAAAAAAAAAATCTGTTAGATCAAAATGGGTCATAGATTTAATATTGAACATAAAACCATAAACTTTAAGAAACAAATGGGAGAAAATATTCAGAACCTAAAACTAGGCAGAAGGTTTTTACTTGACACCCAAAGCACAATCTATATAAAGATATCCAATTCGTAAATTGGACCTCATCAAAATTCAGTTTTTGCTCTGGGAAATACCCAGTACAGGGATTTAAAAAAAAAAAAAAAAAAAAAACTATGGGCTGGGAGAAAATATTTGAAAATCACCTATCTGAAAAAGTACACATACTTAAATTTTTTTTAACTTTTAAAACTCAATAAGAAAATAGCAATGCAATTAGAAAATGATATACGAATGACAAATTTGGGCCATGAATATATATTAAACATTATCAGGCATTAGGGAAATGCAAATTAAAACCACAATGACATGATACTAAAACCTATCAGAAGTACTAAAACCAAATTTCTAACAACCTCACATGCTGATAAACATATGTAGAAACCAAAGTACTCACAAATTGCTGGTGAGAATGTGAAATGGTCCAGCTACTCTGAAAATCAGTTTGGCAGTATCTTAGAAAATCATATATGCTAGTACTATATAACTCAGCGTAGTATCTATGTATTTATACCAGAGAAATAGAAATTTATGTTCACACAAATATCTATCCATGAGTTGGCCTAGCCAGTCGCCTTGGAAAACGAAGTATTAACTACTAAACTTGAACATGCATGTTAAACATACACACACAAACACAAGTAAAGTACTACCCTAAGTGTGCATGGTCTTTTCCAGGACTCTCAGGCTAGGGAGTTGCAGTGGCCTACGTGGCCATGGACAAATGATGCTGTGTGTGCACACACACACACATGTATATGTGAAGTGTCTTAGTTTGCTGTGTCTGCTGCTTCAATAGATAAATCTGGTAACAATATGCTAATATTACTTCTTGAATAACCACAGTAGAGAAGAAGAATAAGACATTGTCCATCATAAATTTATGTGCAATCTTTTAAAATAAAGCAAGTGAAATTGAGGACTTACAGATATTGAACATAATATGATCAACAATTTCAATGCATATAAAAATGAAAAGGAGGAGCAATGTATATGTGTGTGTGTGTATGTGTGTGTGTGTGTGTGTGTACGTGTATGTGTGTGTATATATATTCACAATTTACTACAGGACAAGTAGAGGCAAATGAAAAACATATAAAGAGGGCTGAAATAGTGCTTAACATAAAACAAGTAGTAGCTTTTATAATTATTATAATTATTATGTGTACTAACCAGTATTCATAGATAATTAATATACTATACTAGAATATTACTAAGGTTATTATAGATCATTTTTGGATCCTAAAAACTTAGTTTCAACAAACCAAAATGTTGGATTTTTCTTATATACTAGCCAGCCAACAAGGATTGGTTGAATGAGATTTCTGCCTTTATTTTTAATTTTAGAACATATACATGAAAATATGCTTTGCACCCTGCTCAAAAAAAATTTTAGGGCTGAGGATATAGCTCAGTTAGTAGAATGCACCGAAATAAAGAAAGAAGAAAAATTTAACTGCATTATAGATTTAGCCTCTGCTATGGTTTGAATATGACTTGTTTCTGCTGAAACTTACGTTGAAATTTGGTTGTCAATGCAGCAGTTTTGGGATATGGAGGCTTTAAGAGGGATTAATGTCTTTATTACAAGACTGGGTTAGTTCTTGTGGGAATGGATCACTTTTCAAAAGAGTGGATTATTGTAAAGTGGGTCAGCTCCTCTGTCCTCTTCCTCTTGTCCATATTTATCCATTTGCCTTTCTGTTTTCTTCCATGAGGCCAAGAGCCAAGCAAATGCCACAGTCATGCTCTTGGACCTCCAAAACCATAAGCTAAAATAATTCTTTTTTATTTCAAATTATCCAATTTCAGGTATTCTGGTATATCTGTGGACAGTGGACTAAGATAACCTTAAAATTCAAACATTGTGCCTGTCACAAAAAGGACATAGCACCACCAAAGGGACATATTGAATTGCACCAAAAACAGTGCAAAATCCAAACCAGAGAAAATTTTCAAATCAAACAAGTGGGTTGCTCAAGAACAAAAAAGGAAAATTTTAAGGAAAAGAGGACAAATTATATATATTGGCAAGACATAATAATTATAACTATATATGCCCTAAACAATAGAGCATCTATGTATATCAAAAAAAAACCTTCTCAATTTCAAGAGTCAAATAAACCACAATACAATAATACTGGGTGACTTTAACACATGTCTCTCACTACTGGACAGATCTTCCAAACAAAAACTAAATAAGGAAACCATAGAACTAAATAATACAATCAATAATTTAGACTTAACCAACATATATAGAATATTTCATCCATCAGTGAGTGAATACACTTTCTTCTAGGCAGCACATGGCTTCTTCTCTAAAATAGACTGTATCTTATGCCACAAAGCAACTCTTTTAGTAAAAATTTTTTTAAAAAGACATAATATCCTGCATTCTATCAGATCATAATGGAATGAAATTAGAAATCAATGATAAAATAAAAAATGGAACTACTCTAACAAATGGAGACTAAATAATACACTACTGAATGATGAAAGCATAGTAGAAGAAATAAAAATTTAAAAAAATCTTAAAGGTAAGTGAGAACACTGATACCACATAGCAAAATCTCTGGAACACTATGAAGGGAGTATTAAGAGGAAAGTTTATTGCATTGAGCTCATTCATTAAAAGAATAAAAAGTCAGCAAATAAATGACCTAACATTATATCTCAAAGCCCTAGAAAATCAACACCAAAAGCAGTAGAAGACAGGTAATAATTAAAATCAGAACTGACAACAACAAAATTGAAAGAAAAGAAACAATTTAAAAAATTGACAAAACATAAAGTTGGTTCTTTGAAAAAATAAATAAAATAAATAAACCACTAGCCATGCTAATGAAGAGAAAAAGAAAGAAAACTCAAATTACTAAAATTCATGATGAAAAATGAAATATCACAATGGACATGGCTGAAATACAGAAGATAATTAGAAACTATTTGAAAATTTATAATACAATAAAATAGAAAATCTTGAACACATCAACAAATTTCTAGAGACATATGTTTTACCCAAACTGAATGAGGAGGTCATACATGATTTAAACAGATCAATTTCAAGTAATGAAT